ATTTGGCGTCAGGATAACATCGGATAGGCTTGTGTTAATCAAATTTTGTGGCTCTCTCATAAAAAATTCATTTTGATCTTCGACTCTCAGTCTGGTTAGCGGCTTGCTAAAAACTGAGTCATATGGGACTTGAGTAGCTCACTCATTTCCTTGCTGTCATCTGTGTAGGACCCATCTTGTTTAAGTAGGGGCCCAATACTGGACGTTGTTCTCGATTTTGATTTGGCATAGGAGAAGAAATACTTTGGGTTTCTTTCGATTTCCTTTTGCTTTATAATTCCCGACTCCCTGGACAAAATCTCCAGCTTCACCTTACTGTCTACCAGGACGTATCTCCAGCTTCCCTTTTTTTCCCCAGGACCACCCCCAGTTTCCCCCATTATGTCCCCCAGGACAGTTTTCCCCAGCTTCACCATTACGTCTCCCGGGGACGCCCCTCCAGTTCACCATTCTGTCCCCCAGGACGCACCCCCAGCTTCACCTTCTGTCCCCCAGGACAGCACTATCACCCCTACTTTTACTGACTACCAGGAATCACCTCCACCTTACAGTTTGTGCTACATGGCATATAAAGGGGCAGTACCATTCACCCGGACTTTTTATTTTCCCATCTGTTGTAGAAAGTTCCATTTTTTCTATGAAAGCGCTTTGTTATGAGAGCTTTTTGGGCAAATTGGGTTTATTTTTTCCCCGGGATGCGACCCCCCCCCATTGATAACCCCCAGGTATCCATTTTATGATGGGGAACTAGAAACCATTGGGAAAAACACCCCAATGTTTCCACCCCTTGCCGGGAATTGAACCCGGACAGTACCATGTGAAGCGAGAGTTTTTGCCACCGGCCAGGGGGGAAAACCGCATGTAAACTATTGAAAGCGTTAGGTTTTTTTTCCCTATTTTTACTGTGGTTTTTTTATAAAAATTATATTTTACAAAACTCCCGCCAATTTTGCCCCACGATTCTTAAGCGTTTTGGGGAAGCCCCTTTCATAGAAATGCTTTGCATAACAAGGGCTTTCACATGTACACCCAAAAATGCCATCCACCCTATACAAACTTTGTATCATGCTAAAATAAATCTTGTCTTGAATACGACTCATCACTGCAAATGTGTGACTACCCCTATCTCCCTTGGAATTTTTGCTGGGGGTCAACAACAGTTAACCCTTCCCGACCCCTAATTACCCAACAAAAAGGGTGCGTTAAATATAACAAATTTTCACTACAGGCGAACCCCCACAATATTCAATACACTAAAACCTACTCACCATACAAAAAAATCCAATATTATTTCTGCACCTATTCATACATAGAACATTAAATCTGATATTAACCCCCCCTCAAAATCTTGCCAAAATCAACAGAAACAGACATACACAAGGCACGATCACTCTTTGATGTTCCTCTGTTCATCTCACACTATGCAAAAAATCAATGCACATAAAAAGGCCCCAAAATCTGGAATTCATTACCTGTAAATATAAAAGAAAAAACTACCCGTTTTAAATTCAAGTCTCTACTCAAAGATCATTACTCACCCAAAACCAAATAAAAAACTGAATAACTGAACCTTAAAATTTTAATCTTAAATGTTTTTCACAATTATATCACTAAATGTTAAACCTAAAACCCAATCTAACTTTATTATTTTTTAAATACACTACCCAAAAGAAACCTTCATATGACCTGTCTTTGTAATACTATTGTTTTATATATGTGACATTTTCTTATCAGATTCATCATTGTTATTAATATAATTTTTGAGGCCCTAAGTGTATGCATAGTCTAGTGGCTTTATTATTTGCTGGTTAAATTGTAATTTTGTTGTAAGATTTAAAATCGTGTGAAATTTGAGTTTTAAAATCCAAGAGCGAAACCGGTGTTACATTCTGCACACATTGTTTGCTATATTCCCTTTTAAGTGCCTTGTTTTCCCCTAGGAGCTTAATTTGGGTGCAGGTACCCCGGGAAGATTCAGCCCCTGTCCGTTCAATGTTTAACACTGCATCCTAATTGCTATTTACCGGGTTTAAACCTCCATACTGACTGGTTTTGGTACTATTATATTAAAATATTCACTACGTCATGTGAGGTTTTAAGGTTCTGTGAAACAGTGACATCTGCTATGTACAGGAAGCCGCCTTTTGCTGGCATTCTGGCACATTAGATAGTTGTAACCTGGGATCCACATTCGTTGTCCAAGGTATCCTTTATGTGGGGACTCAGGTGAAAGAACCGCAAATGTTTCACTTTGCTGGCAACAGTCCCACCGGTGAAGGAGATGTTTCACAGGCTCTAAAAAACCCGTATACAAAAAGAATGTTATCGGACTGGTGGAAATTTCTTTTATATTCTTTTTCAAGGATTGAGTATTGTATTTTTGGGTTGTTTGAGTCGTTGGCTATGACTGTGGTTCATTGGAAAAAATGGTTTGGGCATTTGGGCCATTTAAACCGGGGCAAGGTAACATTCCTGGAATTAGAAAAATCTCCAATCTTGATGTCTGTGGTAAGGGTTATATTATTTTTGTATCTTTTTGTCATTAAAGATGGTACACCCGGCAATTTAGGTTATAGCACGGGTGTTTCCGGATGATAGGTCACAAGGGTGAAAAGTTACAGGAAGGGAGGGGCGTGTCTTTTGCTAAGGAATGGACTTTTTCTAGGGGGCATAGTTGTTTCAGGTTTTTGTATTCCCTCCAGTCAGGTACCCAGTGCCTTTTTTTTTTTTTTTTTTTTTTTTTTTCTATTTATGAAGTACTTGGCGTAATGAAACTGTTACTGACAAAAGGCCAAAGAGGGAGTCTAGGTCAAAGGTGGGGATGTCAGCGAGGAGGGAAGATAAAGTAAAGGCGTTAGAGCAGTGACGACGTCGGAAGTAAATTCTGCATGCTTGCTGGTAAACAGAAGTCTAATAAATTAAGGTAAATTGATATTGGAACTTGACAATTCTCACAGTGGTACTGGGCGCCTCTCCATGAGTGAGACGTGTCCTAGATGCGAAGACAGAGAGGGGGTGAGAGATATAGGAAATGCGGTTAGCTGGTCTAGAATCCTGGAGTGAGTGTTGCAGTACCTACATCTAAATATAGTTTGTAGAGTCGACTTAATAGCGATGTTCATGCACTTCTGGCAAGACAGTTATAGAATGAATAATGGTGAATGTGGGTAGACCGATATGGTAAACAAAATTACCATCATCAGATACGCTGCAATATGCAAATATAACACACCTGAATAACTCCACTACCTGATCAGCTGGGCTGTGGTTCGTACGTTGGTTTACGTGCGGCCAACAGTAACAGCCTGGTTGATCAGGCCCTGATCCACCGTGAGGCCTGGTCACAGACCGGGCAGCGGGGGGCGTTGACCCCCGAAACCCTCTCCCTCTAGCATTTCCCCCCAGAATGTAACTTCAGCAGTTATACTGTTTCATATATTTACAGCATTTTCCCCTTAGATTTCTAGGAGCGTATTATTACACCGGCATTATGGTATACTAGCCCAAGGGAGGCTCCTTGATGCAGCTGAGGGGATTCATTATTCTTGATCTAAAGAACTGGACTTGCGCTTTCCTTGTTGGATCAGATCTGAATGCCTCTCATTCCTCCAGGCTTTGTATGACTCCTATGAGTTTAGCGCTTTTAATGAATGTAATAATAATTAGAGTACACTTGGAGGATGCTAGGTGAGTACGGGTACTAGGAAATTTGTCTATACACTTCGCCATATATATATATATATATATATATATATATATATATATATATATATATATATATATATATATATATATATATATATATATATGCAAGACATGCCACAGGGGGTAGAAATCTTTAGCTCAAGTACTTTCACACTTCTCAGTGCGTCATTAGGAGCTATGCAATGTTGAAAGGGAGCAACTAAAGTAGGGGGAGTTTACTCATAGTGGAGTAGTGCGGATTTACTCGTAGCAGAGTAGTACGGGTTTACTCATGGCAAAGTAGTGTGGGTTTACTCATAGTAGAGTAGTGCGGGTGTGTCACCGACCGCAGCTTCTCTCAGAAGTGAAGCTGCGGCCGGTGACAAACCTGCACTACTCTGTGAGTAAACTCCCCCTGCTTTAGTTGCTCCCTTGCAACATTGCATAGCTCCTAATGACGCACTGAGAAGTGTGAAAGTACTTGAGTTAAAGATTTCCACCCCCCGTTGCTTGTCTTGCATAGTTAAGATCGCTTGTCTGGATTGGTTGCATTATATATATATATATATATATATATATATATATATATATATATATATATATATATATATATATATATATATATATATAATATATATATATATATATATATATATATATATATATATATATATATATATATATATATATATATTATATATTATATATATATATATATATATATATATATATATGAACGACACGTAGTCAGTAAAGTATCGCATTATACGCCATTCGTGTGTACTTTTCCATCATGTCGGTATTTTATACCCTTTATCGCCAGTGAACCAGATATATTTTCATCTCTGAGCCAAGTGTTCTGACCACTGAGTTAGAGATCACGTCCTAGAGTTAACTTGGGGCGAGGATTTAGAGATGCTGGCATGGTTGCCACAGTAGCTCATGTCACAGTATATATTTGATGGTCTCCCTGCCAGCTGCTGCCATGTACCTTGGCACTTGTCAGTGCCTCTGGCTGTTGAGGCACAGCACTAGAAGATCAAGCTAAGGCGATCCTTCACTCGATAACACGGTGGTGGAGATAGCACTGTGCTGTTGGTGGTCGAAGGGACTAAACGGTGGTGGAGACACCACTGTGGTGGTGGAAGGGACTGCAGTGGTGAAAACACCAGTGGTGCTGGAGGTAGTGGAAGGGACAACACTGTGGTGTTGGAGGTAGTGGAAGGGACAACACTGTGGTGTTGGAGGTAGTGGAAGGGACAACACTGGTGTTGGAGGTAGTGGAAGGGACAACACTGTGGTGGAGGCACCACTGTGGTGTTGGAGGTGGTAGACAGGCCTGCACGGTGGTGGAGACACCACTGTGGTGTTGGAGGTGGTAGACAGGCCTGCACGGTGGTGGAGACACCACTGTGGGGTTGGAGGTGGTAAATAGGCCTGCACGGTGGTGGAGACACCACTGTGGTGTTGGAGGTAGTGGAAGGGACAACACTGGTGGAGGCACCAATGTGGTGTTGGAGGTGGTAGACAGGCCTGCACGGTGGTGGAGACACCACTGTGGTGTTGGAGGTGGTAGACAAGCCTGCACGGTGGTGGAGGTAGTGGAAGGGACAACACGGTGGTGGAGACACCACTGTGGTGTTGGAGGTAGTTGAAGGGACAACACGGTGGTGGAGACACCAGTGGTGTTGGAGGTAGTTGAAGGGACAACACGGTGGTGGAGACACCAGTGGTGTTGGAGGTAGTGGAAGGTACAACACGGTGGTGGAGACATCACTGTGGTATTGGAGGTAGTTGAAGGCACAACACGGTGGTGGAGACACCACTGTGGTGGTGGTGGAAGGGACTGGCTGTGTAATGTTGGTGGTTGTGAAGTAGCATGCCAGTGTAGTGTTGGTGAAAGAAAATAGCTTTGTCACTGCAGGGGGATGATGATAAGGCAAGTGAGTACCCAGGCAGCAGCAGCAGCCTCCCCGCCACACACTGCAGTGCTCACCTACTGACCTGTTCACCCCAACACTGTGCTGATGGAGGGAGTACGCAATAGGAAGGTGAGCCCACCAGGAGAAAGTGCCGAGCAGAAAGTGCCCTGCAAGGGACGTGCTCCCCCATTAATGAAGGGCTTTTGATCCGAGGAATCGGAGTTATCCTGATCACACCAAAAAATTTATTCCCATTTTCAGGCACTGTATAATCCACACAGGTTTAGCACTTCACCAGTGAATGCAGTAATATAGGTATTGTGAGGCTAATATGGGTGCTAAGGTCATTCACTCTGGTAATGCATTGATTTGGTTATATATAAATCACCAGTGGCCTATTAAATTGTTGTTTATTTTGGTAAATTATAATGTATACTTAGTACAGTGCATATACATTTTTATTTCATTTAAAATAGCTTCAAATTACACAAGTCATATATATACTAAAATAACTTATCATGATGACAACCTTGAATGTCCCTATAATACTGAGAAGAAATTGAATTTATGAGGTAATAATAGTACTATAATAAGAGTCATTATATATACTTATATATATACAGAGAGAAGGAAATTCAATTTTGACCACTCTAAACACTAAAATCAGGTATTTGTAATTCTAGATTTTTGATGTGGTTTGAATCCAGTACTAACACCTATATCTTATTCATGTTGGTTCAGATGACCACACCGTAAAAAACAGAAACCATATAATTAGAAGATTTGTGCCTGTTGCAAATACAACTGTGCCAACAACCACGGCAGTTGAAGAGCCTTAAACAGAAGAAAGAAAAGAATGCTTGGTTCAGTGTTTGGAGGTACAGTTTCCATACACTTGACAGGTAACTGATATGTTGCCTAAAATAGGAATTTATTAACCTAGTGGAATGTAACTAAATTTTAACATGATCTAATGCAAATATGTATGGATGAAAGCTTCATGTGACTGAAACATGATGACAGTGTAATTTAATATTCTGTGGCTTATTTTAAATACATGTATTTAACTTTTGGCATACTGTACAGTATATTGCAACTAAGGACCATGTTTGAAATTGTTTTTCTAATATATTTTGACCATTCCTTAGTAGTCATTCTGACTAAAAGTTTAATATAAAGATGAAAGCACGTTTATGTGGCATTATAAAATCCAATGCTTGACTAATGGAAATGAGTGAATTATTCTTGCTACCAGCTGTTTAATGGGATGTAAATTTTGGGCAAGGAATATACTTATGTAACAGTAAGTAGGTACCTGGGTGTTAGTTGACTGGTGTGGGTCACATCCTGGGGGTACAAGATTGAAGGATCCCTCTGGGTTAAAAATACGACCAGATCTTATCTTATATATGGTCATTTATCATTTTAAGTTGAGCAGTGATTTATGGACCTGTTATCAAAGTCAAGGTCAGATTTGATTTCCTAGAATTACAGGGTATTCTCTCATCTCTTAGATTTTAAATTATTTTGCACATTCTGAGGAAAAGCCCTTGTCTTGTGCAGCAATTCAGGCAGATTAAAACCAGTATTGTCCTGAAAGACTATGTAATATTTGTACAAAGAATTGGATTAAGAACATAATGTGTAAATTGAGTTTTGTGTGATAATTGAGCTTGAATAATATTTTTACAAAATAACCCCAACACTACATGAAGTGCATTAAATATTGTGAATAAATTTACAAATATGTATTTGGAAACTAATCATTCATTCACATAGGCTTCGGAATAAACACTATGATAACCAAGTACAGTACTACATACAGTATAACAAATCAAATTTCTGGATGTTACAAAGAACAAATTTTTTTTTTTAATATTACCTAATTACATAAATAATCAATGATCTCAGATGTGAGATACTATATTACATATTAACTGGAGGTTTATACAGTTAATTTTGTATTTGGGAAGTAAGTTTATTTAGGTACAGGTGCAAATAAATAAAGTTACACAACTTATCGTACATAATTACACATGTGTAAATTATCTAGGATAACCCATAAAAGTCAAAGTGACTTATTTTTATTGGGTCCCCCATGTTTACACAGCATATCTGGCAAAATTAAGGAAAGATGTTACTGTACATAAAAGTGTGAATTAATGTAAAGTATTCAGTACTGAAATACTGTACTATGCTGTGGCCCGGTGGCCTGGTGGCTAAAGCTCCCGCTTCACACACGGAGGGCCCGGGTTCCATGCCCGGCGGGTGGAAACATTTTGACACGTTTCCTTACACTATTGTCCTGTTCACCTAGCAGCAAATAGGTACCCGGGTGTTAGTCGACTAGTGTGGGTCGCATCCTGGGGGACAAGATTGAGGACCCCAATGGAAATAAGTTAGACAGTCCTCGATGACGCACTGACTTTCTTGGGTTATCCTGGGTGGCTAAAACTCCGGGGTTAAAAATCCGAACGAAATCTTATCTTATCTTATAAGCTGTATTTAATTCTTTTATTGAAGAAAACTGCACAATATAGCCAAGCATAACCTAACCTTATCTAATGTAACAAAATGCAAGCATACAACCATACACACATTTACCCTTCATAATATTAGGTTCAAACCCCCTTGTCAGGAAGCACCAGAGCTGATTTTATACTAAAAAAATCTACACTAACTACCAATAAACTTGCCCTTAACCCTTTGACTGTAGCGGCCGTATATATACGTCTTACGAGGTACCGTGTTTGACGTATATATACTACTCATAAATTCTAGCGGCTTCAAATCAAGCAGGAGAAAGCTGGTTGGCCCACATGTGTGAGAATGGGTCTGTGTGGTCAGTGTGCACCATATAAAGAAAATCCTGGAGCACGTAGTGCATAATGAAAAAAAAAACTCCGACCGTTTTTTTTTAATTAAAATGCCGACTTTGTGGTCTATTTTCGTATAGTATTTGTGGTTGTATTCTCGTTTTCTTGGTCTCATTTGATAGAATGGAAAACATATTATTGAAATAGAGGTGATTTTGATTGATTTTTCTATAAAAAGAACCTAGAAATGGAGCTCAAAGTAGGGGAAATGTTTGATTTTTGCCAATGTTCAAAAGTAAACAAATGATGCCATTGTCCAATAAATGTCCAACTAGCCATTCTAATATGCAGTCATGAATGGGTTGATGTTATTTATACAATTATTACAGTATTGCAGTAGTCTGCATAATAGTAAGTCATCTATTTTTTGTTTGAATAAAAATTGAAAATAGAAAGCAAGAGTAATATCAGAGGGGCCTGGAGACATGACTGATGAGCAAAAAAAAAATGTTATTTTAGAGCCAGGAATGTCTGCATTGTTCATTCTGGACCTTATTTTGAAATTGTCATGTTTTCGTGAAATTGGCCAAATTGCAAATTTCTGACCACATTATTAGGTAGTTGAAATCAGTAAATGGGCAGTTTCTTGTACTCAATCGATAGAAAAAATGGAGTTCTAAAGAAATAGCTATGAGTTTCGGCGACTGGAACAATAGAATTAGCCGAAAATAGGGCTCAAAGTGGGCGAAATCGCCGATTTGTAAACAGCGCCGAGGTCGCTAACTTTGCGAGAGCATAATTCTGTCAGTTTTCCATCAAATTTCGTTTTTTTTTGGTGTCATTACAATCGGGAAAAGATTCTCTATCATTTCATAAGAAAAATAATTTTTTTTTTTTTAAATTTTGCGACACCAGGAGACACCTCAGGATTGGGGGTTGCGACAGTCAAAGGGTTAATACAGAAAAAATATTCTACATAATTTTTGGAACAAACCATTTCCCCTAATTAACCCTTAAACGGTCCAATCGTATATATACATTCTCTCGTGTAGCGCCCCAAAAGTATATGTACGTTTCCTTTGTCATTCATTCAACATTGGCACGATAAGCCTGAGTCGACTAGACATGAGAGAATGGGTGTGCACACTCACTGTGCGCCATATGAAAAAAATTGGTGACGCCTGGGTACCATATGCTTTTTTTTCCTATTAAAAAGAAATTTTTTTTTTTTTTTTTTCAAAAAAATTTGGGGCGCTGCACGAGAGAGCATATATATATGTTTGGACTGTTTAAGGGTTAAATAGAATGAGTGAAACCAAAATAGGCAAAAAAAAAAAAAAAAAAATGAGGGGAAATTCCTGGGTCTAAGATTTTATATTATGTCCAGCAATTTGCACTACTGGTACAGTACTTTACTTTTCCCCATTACAGTATTTGCACGAATCTCACATGTGAGATTTGTGCCTTACAGTCTCCTTAAGCAACCTGCCTCAAAAAAAGTTATCGCCCTATAAAAGGCAGCACTCAGAACCACCAAGGACCCCAATGGAAATAAGTTACTTCATCTGACGTTTTTGGTTTATCCTTGGTAATTTACACATGTTACTATGTATGATAATTTGTGTAACTACATTTATGCATACCTGTACCTAAATAAACTACACAAACTAATTACAGCCAATACATTTTGACCTTAATCAAGTCCCTGAAACTACTAAATATAAATGCTGTTTGTATTTACTACAGTTCACCCCACATTATTAGAACTACACTGAAATGTTTAATTAAGTTTACCTAAGACATTGCAGGGAAAATTGTAACAGAACACACAGACATACGCCATAACACTAGAAACAAATACCTGGAGTCTATCTTGAGGGTATTCCGGGGATCAATACTTCCGCATCCCAGTCCACGACCAGGCCTCCCAGTGGATCAGGGCCTGATCAACCAGGCTGTTTCTGCTGGCTGCACATAGTCCATTGTACAAATCACAGCTGGGCTGATCCAGCACTGACTAAGTATCACATGTGTTTGATGTCCCTCGTGTCATTTGACTGTGTACAGAAATTCTGTGTAAATTAAAGGTGAAAAATATGGTCTGATTTTACATGTGAATTACAAACTTGCAAAACACTTTTTTTTAACACATTGGCCGTCTTCCACTTAGACAGGATGACCTAAAAAGAAAAATGAAGGTTTTTCTTTTTTACATTGAGTAATATGCAAAATACAGTGGTACCCTGGGTTTCACACAGCTCCCAACTCAAACAGTTATGTAAGTGTTATGTAAGTGCTTTTGTAAGTGTATTTTTGAGGGTCTGCAATGGACTAATCTAATTTACATTATTCCTTATGGGAACAAATTCGTTCGGTAACGACACTCGAACAGCCTTCTGGAACAAATTATGGCCGAAACTTGGGGTACCACTGTACTTAAATTTAAAATGGCTTCAACCTAAAATGGTGACAAGTTTTGTGTACTGAATTATATTGTGACCTGTGGGCTTGGTTGATAGCACACTCAGCTCATGCACCGAGTGTCCATGGTTTGATCCCCAGCATAGGTGGAAACATTGGGCATGCTTCCCTGCATGTACTGCCCCTGTTCACTTAGCAGTTAGTAGGTACCTGAGTGTTAGCTGACTGTTGTTGGTTGCATCCTGGGGGGGACAAGATTCAAGGACCTCCAGTGGAAGTAAGACGGAGTCCCTGATAATGCACTGACTTCATTTGGCTATCTTGGGTGGCTAACCTTCTGGGTTAAAATCCAAACACAGTCTCATCTTACTTGTCATTCAGAAATCTGGTTTGGCAATAGAGCTCTGGATGAGTGGAACAAACTCCCAAGTAACGTTATTGAAGCTACACAAATAACCCGCACATAAAAGAGAGAAGCTTACGACGACCTCTTCTTCTTCTACCTCATCTACTGATGGAATTAGACACATGTGCGGCGTCTGGTTGTCTTTGTTGTGGACGTTTCGCCATCCAGTGGCTGGCTGGATGGCGAAACGTCTACGGTGGGGATGCCCGGGTGTTGTGCATGTGTCATTTCATCCTGTCGGTATTATATACAATTCTTGTACTACTACTACTACTACTACTACCACTACTACTACCTCCACCTCTTCCTGCCTATATATAGCCGTCCTGCTCCACCTCTGTTAGTGTGACTTTGTCAATGGTCCAAGTCGGACCGAAACGTCGTCGTAAGCTTCTCTCTTTTATGTGCGGGTTATTTGTGTATCGTTCCAGTCACGTTATTGTGCCTTTTTGTTATTTATTTATTGAAGCTAATACTACGCTGTATTGTTTTAAAAGTAGGTTAGACAGATACATGAGTGGGTGTGAGTTGGACCTGACTGCATTGGGCCAGTAGGCCTGCTGTAGTGCTCCTTATGTTCTTTAATTGTAAACTATTTTACAGTTTTTTTTTATTAACACATTGGCCATCTCCCACCAAGGCAGGGTGACCTGAAAAAGAAGAAACACTTTCATCATCATTCAGTCTATCACTGTCTTGCCAGAGGTGTGCCTATACTACAGTTAGAAAACTGCAACATATCAACACCCCTGCCTTTAGAGTGCAGGCACTGTACTTTCCACCTCCAGG